AAAAAAAAGCATATTCTGTTAGTCTTCTTGTGTGTCTAATAGTAGACGCGATTATAGTCAGTCGTAATCTTGCTAAAAGAACAAATAATGTCATATTTTTATCCAAACGGTACTATAATAAATCTGGATAATCATAATTATTGTGCTGAGAAATAGAACTTCAAACAATAAATAAAAAATCGTTCAATGCTACATCTTTCTACTATTAGGAAGACTTTCTTTTGAACGATAGCACGTATTTTATACTATTATCAGTAACCAACATTGGGTGATTAGTTTTTTTCAAAGCATTCATCCAAACGTTTTCATAGAATATTTCTTTTACCATCCATAACAAGATTAACAATTTTAAATAGTTTAATCGAGAAGCTACATCCAAACAGGAGATATAACTGTATAATCTAGTCATTCTAGACTTATCAATTATATGATATGTCTAATTATCTCCTTTATTTCACAAGTTCATAATTGTGACATTAATTTAAAAACAGATGACGGTATTTTCATAAAATGTTTGACCATCATATCGATAGTCTTTTGGAATAAAAAAATGATATTGATTCTTTACTTTCTGTAAGATCTCTTGTCGGAATATTGCTGATAGCGCGATCTTCACTCTTATTTAGCTGCAAGCCTTACAATTTTTCAACGGAACATAGATAAGAGATTGATTTATTCGGAAAACATTATTCGACAGCTTTGTCAAATTAGCACAACCATTTTACTATCTCTTTCTGATTAGATGTTACAATGTTTCATTCTTCATAGCAGCGACATCCAATGGAAGTCAGTGATTTCTGCTGTTCCAAAAAAAGTGTTTCTTAGATTGCCTATGCTTATTCACTTCTTCGAAGCATAGTCTTCCATTTTGAACGGATTTTCTTGATTTTCAATTCTGAACAATTCAGTTTTACAAGATATTAGCAAACAGTTATCGTCATTGTGTACATGAATTTTTATATGGCATGGATTAAGTCTTACTTTCTCTAATTATCTTTCAGTTATCGATGTTAAAGAAAAATCTTTAGAGCGTAATAAAACGTTACAATCTGATTGTTGATGAATCCTTCTGTTTCATGATATAGACAGAACATGCACTCACGTCAAAGGAAATTCAATATCATCTATATGCATGACAAAATTGTTGCTTCGTCCATGTTTATTAAATATGAAAGATGTGACGAGAAGCTTCAAACTAAATGAATAATCATAAATCATGATCAGTAAATAACTACAGAAGCTTCCAAAAGGCATGAGGAGCCTGTGGATGGACGGTATTGTAAATCCGAACCAACAAGCAAAAAATTCATATCTTTCGTAAAATTGAACCTGAGTTTGGGTGGTGTTCTTCTTCATATGGGCACTCACGCTGATACCCTTAACTGTACCTGGCATCCACTCATACCCGCACCCACCCCACACACCCACACACACCCCACCCACACTCACACCCTTTTTTTCAACAAAATCGAGTTTAGCCCTTGCAAGCAACGTGAGTGAGTACGAATACAGAAACGTAAAATTCGCTTGCAAGTAAATGAGAAATTCAAAAAACCAATTCTAAATAAAGTTAATTTTTATTGGAGACCTTGAGATGATAGTAGGACAAAAGATCTCGCTCTAGAAGACTGATTTTTTGGGAGGCAATTCTTTTAAAGCTCAATCTTGTTAAAAATTGCACTATAGGTATAACTGTTTTATGGGACGGAATCTATTCTACAATGCTTGAACTTGCCTGTCATGATGTCAGAGAGTCATTTGCTAATTACATTTTAGTTAATTAATTTTAATTAGATGTGCGCTGAAAGAACCAAGATTTTTTATATATGGTCATGGGGAGAAGAACTTATTCAAAAACATAGCTCTTATAAAGAGTCAAGGTCAAATCGAACATGATCATGTCCTGTCTTTGCTGATTTTGTCTATGTAAGTTATAGAAATGGACAGGTATGTAAAAATATGACGAGTGCAGAGATGCTCAAAATGGTCGGAAATTTGATCTCGTGATCTCTAAATGAATTGGAAGAACAAAGATGGCATTTGAGTAGGATCTGTACGATTTGTTGCTTGTTTGCTTTTTATTATTAAGGATATTCTTGAATTCACAATCACTTTTAGACTCTAATATCGACAGCAATACCCACCATCTAGAAATTGGAAATTCAACAGCAATTGAGGTGAAACTCAAGGCATTCTACGATGAGGGAGCTTGAAACACTGTCTCACATAACCCCACTAGTGAAGTTACAAAGACTAGCACATACAATCCTGATGTGGGTGCTTCAAACACTGAATCCCACTTGAATTCCTTGAACTTCGTGAGTTTCAATTTTTCTGGATATTGCGTATATGTCTATCAATATAGAGTAAATTTTATTCTTTATATTTTTCAAAACTCAAACATAAAAGCATTGACTAGTTTATTAAAATATATTGCTCATAAAATAATGATATTGATATTGATGGTTGAAGTTTAGGGTAAAAAGCAGTGAGGAATAGAAGCAAAATATGAAAAAGGTTTTTATTAATTAAGTGAGTCCGATTTATAATTTGATAGGGACTTTAATATGAAGAAAACCATCAGCTTTCAATTCTGTTGTCAAATGATCAATTTCACAAGTAGGAAAAAGAGTAATTTGACGATAACTATGTTCACCTAGAAAAAAAAATTCCATTATATAGTAAATATTTATCTTTTAAAAATACTTACTTATATAGTGAATACCATCAGTTGATACTTTATTATTGACCTCAATGCGTAAATCATATCCATTAAGTGAAATTTTCATTTGATCCAATGTTGTACCTGGCTTCATTTGTAAACGCATATTGAGAATTTTCTTGCCACCAGGGCCATCAACAAGAGATGGATTCCATGTTTTATTTTGAAGAAATTCTTCAAGTGTATATTTTCTATTTTGATTGATGCTTGATATTGTCTTTAAAAAAAAAACGAAAATCAGAGAATGATGCTTGTTTCTTTTTAACAATTACTTTTGAATCACCACGTTCACTAGTGCTTGACTGTTGTTGATTTAATGTATTTTGTGATGTATTGCTTGTTGTACTTGCAGTTTTAGTTGATGTTGATTGTGTATCAGTGCTACGTGTAATTGGTTTAGAAACACCTTGATCAATGTTTCTATGGACTTCTTTTGTTGTTGATTGTGTATCAGTGCTACGTGTAATTGGTATAGAAGCACCTTGATCAGTGCTTCTATCGACTTCTGTTGTTGTTGTTGTTGAAACTTTTCGTTTTTGAATTGTTAGTGTACCACCACTAGCCAAAAGTTCCGGTGAAACTTCTATTGGTAAATTTGCCAAATCTATCAAACAAAATACATACTTGAAGAAAATTATGGTAAAAACCTTACCCGAACTTTTTGATACTGTTTGTTTAGTAGTTGTTGTCGATGATGATCTATCAGGTTCAGTAGTATCAATTTTTCGAACACCTGTATTCGATGAATAACGTTCCGATGTATGTGTACTATAAGTTTGAATATTGCTAGCATTTGTCATATCCACATTCTTAAGTAATTCAGCTGCTTCACGTGGAAGATCAGTTAAGTCGCTTGTCGTCGTTGTTGTTGTTTTCGTAGTTTTTGTAATAGATGTTTGTTGATCTGCTGTTGAAGAATTAGAGACATCATTTGATGACGATAATAAATCTTGATTATTTGATGTATTATATTTATTTAATGAAAATGATAGACGACGTTGATTATTTTGATTGCTAGTAACACTTAAATGATCAACATGCGTTGATGTATGAAGTGGAATTTCAACGACAAGCATATGATCCGAAGTTATAAATGATGCTATTGAATCAATGTCAGCATTAGCTGGAAGCTCAAAATTTCTTTCAAATTTTTTTTGTACAAAACGATTTTCAGTACGTTCTTCATAAACACCTGATATGGTTAATTTACCATTTTGAATATAGATCTAAAGAAAGGAAAAAGAAAATAGAAATACAATTAACATTTTTCTTTTTCTTTTTCTTACTTTAATTTGATCAGCTTGAAAATTTTCAACATCAAACGTAATACGAAATTTTTCTGCATCATGTGAATGTCTGTCGTGCACTAATTGTTGATTTGGACGATTAAGCCAACGAATATTTTCATCTTGACCAGGTGCAAAATCAAATGCATTAAACCATACTTCAGTTTTTTTATTTGAACTACTTGAATTTGTATTTGTACGATGAATTGGTACGGTCTGTGTAGCCATTTATATATATATTATTCGTATGGTAAATAACTGTGGTTTGTGCTATGAGTATTTATATATGCATATTATCCTATTTTTCTCGTCAAGTAGGTCAATAATGACAGGGTTTTAATTATCTGCAAAATAGCTTTTTTTCCTCTAAAAATGCAAAATTGTTGCCATTTCATGATTGATTGATATTTACGTTTTAGACCTTTTATTTCGTATGTCAGAAAATACATGTAAGACACATTGACATAACAATATCTATCTACTTATAGGGATCAATGATTTGTTTAGTCGTATACATATGCTTAGAAACTAGTTGATAAAAAGATTTTCAGTGCTTATTATTCTATATATGAAGATAATATATCGAAATAAAAACCAATTAAGCATGATAAATCTGTCGACAAGAAGATGCTAGAACTTTCTTTTAAATGTTGCCTAGAAAACCAAATATAGCCTACAATATAATTGCAAGCATTTATGTGTTAGTGATATAAATAGTTTGATTGACATATGTTTATAGACATTATTGTCCTTTCCGACAATAATAGTTAACAATATTTAGACAATTTGATTTCCTCATGTCATATGTCACTTTTAAGTATGGTCTAACATTGTGCTAATGACCTGAAAAACAAATTTTTAGTCTTTGAAATATAAATTTACTGATAAACATATTCTTGATAATAATATGAACAAAATCATTTAGGATCATTTTATAATTGAAGAAAATCTATTTAGGTATGAAAAACAAATTGAACATTTGATTTCTTATTTTTCTTAAATAAATACATCCTGAATTGCACATTAGCTTGTTAATTGAATTATTTTGTGTTTGTCTTTTAAATTTTATTTGAATATTTATTTTTCTTTACAAAAATATGCTTTTTCAAATGCATGTAACAAGAAACTATTTCTTTAAAATTCTCATTTGATTTTAGTTAAATTATTTACATAGGTCGACGAATAGAAATAAAATGAGATTTCATCATCGGAAAAGGAAAAGTTTGTTTTTTGTTTTTTCTGCATTCTTATGAATTCATTTTATACGGTAGGACAAAATCTATTCGAAAATAAAAAACAAAAACATTACTCGTAGAAAAATCGTTTTTTTTTGTTTCTTTTTTAACCTTGAAATATGAGTAAACAAATTTAAAATAAATAAAACATTGTTTCGATCAAAATCTAAAAACAAAACGACGTGAACACATAGAAATAGGTAGCTGCTGTACTCAGCCAAAAATGAAAGATGATATTCATCGAAATTCTGAATTAGAACAACGAATAAATCAATCAACAATGGAGAAGATCGATTTATCTAATATGAATTTAATAGATGAAGACATTCCAATTATTATAGATAAACCCATTAGACAGAAAAAATCCCCATCTCTCTCGTTACTAACAAACAAGATAATAACTGAGGGTATTTGAATTGCTAGTTGATGTTCTTAAAACAAATACAAATCTCACGCATCTTTATCTATCATCAAATCCTATTGGAATATCAGATCATGGAGTCAAGATTATTATTGATGCACTTAGTTCAAATTCACCATCTATTCGATGTCTCGATCTGCGATCAAATATAAATTCATCACAAATGTATCGATAGATTTTCTTCTTCAAATAGTTAAACAAAATCAAACATTATCTGTTTGTCATTTGGATAGCTGTGGATTGATTGAAGAAGGTAAAGAAAGACTCCGAGAAGTAGAACCAATTGAATGGTATTGACAAAAAAAAACACTTAACATTTTTACTATCCTTTCATTTTTTTTTCTTACTCATTTCAATTTATTTTATATTTCACAATCAAACTTACTTCACTTCATACTAAGCATAAACAATTTTTATTCTGAGTAATTTTGACTATATATTCAATATGTGGAAATGAAACATTTGCAGACGTCAGCACTTGTCTCTGTAAATTCTCAATCTATTATTGATAATTGCACTGATGAGTCTTCTTAGACTAGAAGTATCAGATAAATGATTAGTTTATCTATAGATTATTTATCGTTACATGAGGGTGTGGGTGTGGATGTGGGTGTGAGTGTGTGGGTGTGGGTGTGGATTGGATGTGGGTGGGTGTGGGGTGTGGGTGTGGGGTGTGGGTGTGGGGTGTGGGTGTAGGTGTGTGTATGGGTGTGGATGTGGGTGGTAGTGAACCTTCTATGCATTCACATCCACACCCACACCCATCCGCTGAATTTCGAAAATTTTGAGTACTTTTGGTGTAAGGAAATGGATACGACGATGAAGATACCCAACCCCTGAAACTTGAAAATTTTGAACACTTTTGGTGTTATGGGATGATTGCTAGACTAGGTGTACATATATGGTTAAGGTGTAGGTGTGGTTGTGGAGTATGTGAGTATTGATAGTCTCTTCAAACACTCACATCCACGCACCCACGCCTAACCCACACTCACACCCACACCACACACCCACACCCACAC